GACTTTTCAACACGGTGCCACCTTGCCGGTATTTGGTGCACAAAGACATCATGCAGTAGTTTTAAACTATAAAACAGGGGACATATTATACAGTAATTATTTTTCATATAGCCTGTATATGTTCTGTGGAATCTGCATTAAACTGTATCTTCCAAACTACTGAACGGATCTGAATTTTGGATATGTGGTTCACCCAGATCCCCCAGTTCCGAGGATGGGGTTATTGCATGTTTTGGGGTCCCTGTGATATGTTTTATAATACTGTATTTCTCTGCCTGTGATAATTAGATTAACCATTGTGTTCAGTAATCATCTCACAGGCAGAGGGGAGGATTTTGTGTGGGAGTGTCTGTATGTATTGTACGGATTGATTGGTTGTATTTCAAAACCCTGTGGGCAGTACTATATTTGTGGATTGTGAATAAAAGAGGCTGCATGTGCCAGTACAGTTAGTTCTGCATGACCTCAAAACAAAGTGTCGTCTCGTTATTGGGGGAATTGGATTGTATGCTGATTGCCAGGAGTGTAAGCTGATTATATGCTTTTCCTGTTCAGCTGCTTACAGCATTTATATGCTTGAGAGCATTCGTATGCTTCTCCGGTTCGGTGGTTGTGGTGTCTGCTGCAGTGCTTGGAATCCTCAGGAAGCGCTAGGAGCATTGTTCAACGGAGGTACCCAGTCGGGGTGCCAGGTGATCCGTTACAGATGGATTTAAAACTTATTGTCGCACTAAAAGCTGGTCCCATTTGGACTAGAATAATTGCTAAATATACTGATGCCCATGAAGATAACCTCAGAAAAAGCAACATGAAAACAGATGAATGGTTTAGAACCAAATCTGCATCTGGAGCATGCTGTGTCACTGCAATAAGAGAATGGGTTAAGGTAAAAACAGAGGAACTAGCCCATACATTAGGAGATATACTACAAGGGAAAGATGAATCTGTAGAAACATTTTTCACCAGACTACAGATGGCTTGGGAGGCATTGGGTTACACAGATATTGAAACCACTTCCACCAGACTGCTTCATGGATGGTATCCACATACCCATAAGGACTGGTCTCCAAAATGCTAGACCTGAGTGGAGAAGTTTAACCTATGGTCATAAGCATGCGCACAGGGGTGTGCCTGGGCACACCCTAATCCCCGCGGCACGCCTATGGAGTGAGGCCGGCAGGGGAGATCTCAGGATCTCCCCTGTCGGCTCATGCAGAGCCAGCGCTATCAGAGCGCCGGCTCTGCTCTAAGCCTCCCTCCCCACAACAGCATTGAGAGGACCCGGGGAGCTCAACCAGCAGCTCCGCCGGGTATCTCTCGCGAGTTCTGAGCGTTGCCGTGGCAACGCTCAGATCTCACGAGAGTGAACTCTATCCCCACAGGGGCTAGAGTTCACTCTCCACTGGACCACCAGGGAAAGCAGCAGCACGATCCCCCCCTCCCTACATAAGGTAAGAAGGGAGTGGGGATATTAAGTAATGTACCCCCACATCCACCCCCACAATCACCCACACACATACAGAACACACACATACAGCACGCCCACACACACAGCACCCACACAGCACCTACACACATACAGCACACACAGACACACACACACACAGCACACACATACACACATACAGCACCCACACACACATACAGCATACACACACACAAAGCACCCACACACATACAGCACCCTCACTCACATACAGCACACACACACACACACACATACAGCACCCACACACAC